CTTTAGTCCTACTCGAAGTGATGCATGCCTCTAGGAGTGTTCATTTTCCTGTCTACACATTCTTTCAAGTGCTGTTGTGAGGATTAAGTAAGAGTGAAAGAAAAGCCTTAGGCTCATGCCCAGCACAACAGGGATTTAGGAACTAATAACTGTCATCACCGCCAATATTACAAATTCACATGTCCCCTCTGTCTACAGCTTTCAATGGCTCCCTACTGCCTACAGAGGAGTTCAAGCTGCCTAAATACCCAATCAAGGTCCTCCACCGTTCACCCACAGGTCTAGGCACTCGGGCCCCCAGCCTTGCCCAGCACCAGACTGCTTCTCTCAGTAACTATTCCTGGCCTTCCCCCGACCAGACGGCGCTTCTCCAAGTTTCAACACCACTCCTCCCCAGGCTCGGCTGGAGTCACATTCCTCTAACCTGGCTCCTGCTTGGACACCATGGGAACAGGTGGCAAACTTCCTGGGTCCCTGGTCAGGAACCGTAAACGCTCTGCACATACACACCCATTTCCACACCAATGGGATGCTATTATGACCCCATTTCATTTATTATTGCTATTTGTTTTGCAGTGCCAGGGATTGAGCCCCAGAGCCTCTTGCGTGCTGTACTCGCCCTCTAGCCAGCCCTACTGCTGCATTTAAACATTTATTTATGGGCTGGGCAGATAGCTCAGCAGCATGAGCACTTTCGCAGCAAGTGCGAGGTCCTGAGTTTGACCTGTGGTACCAAAAAAAAATTTTTTTTAATTACTTATTTTTGAGACAAGATCTCATTTTGTAATTCAGGCTGGTTTTGAATTCATTATATAGCCCAGGATGGCCTAAAACTTGTCGCGATCCTCCTGCCTCAGTTTACCATGCCTTTTTTTTTTCTTTTTCTTTTCTTTTTTTTTTTTTTTTTGAGACAGGATTGCTCTATGTGGTTCAAGCTGGCCTCAAACTCTCTATGTAACCCAGGCTGGCCTTGAACTTGTGGTGATCCTCCTGCCTCGACCTCTGGCATACTGGGATTACAGTCGAGCACTGCCACGTCTCGCTTACATTTCATAGATGAGGCGGCAGATGCCCAGAGAGGGCAAGTGACACCCTCAAGGTCAAAGAGTCCTAAGAGCCTGTGCTGGGACTGGAACCAAAGCTGCCTGCAGATCAGCCTGCTCCCTTTTACTCTGCTCTGCTGGAATCAGCTTCTCAGCTCGTCCATCTATTGCTCGGAGACTTGCTTCTGTCACTGGCTCTGTGGCCTCCTAGCCAGGGGGCCTTGGGCCATCTGCTAGCTCACCAGGTTACAAGGAAGAGGACACTGGTGGCCGCAGAGCCTGTGGCCCAGGGGCTGACGTAGAACAACAGCTCAACCACCCACAGCTTCAATGATTACTGTGGGGTTGGTGAGGGTAGGGACAGTGACTGTCGTCATTTCCTCCTCTCTGATCTCCACTCAATCAAGTCCCATGATCTCAGTGTTTTCCTTCCAACTCCTACAGAACTCCCCACCACAGGCTTCAAACTAGCTCTGGACCTGAACAAAAGGGTGCTGGTGGGCAGAGAACCTGAGGAGGCAGATAATCCAAAAATAATTGATCCCAGGTCAGGGAAAGCATTGTTTACCAAAGCAGGCTGACCTTCCCAATTATCATCTGCTTAGGCTAACATTACAGCCGGCCCTCCCCTGCGGCCTGGATCACCACAGTCCTGAGGGAGGCGGGTCAGGCCTGGGCTGGTGCTGGGCTGAGAGGTAACTGAGGCAAGGCCGGAGGCAAGGCCCCAGGCTCCCCTCTGGTCAGCAGCACTGGGGTACAGATCCCAAGGCTGTTTGCAGAAGTCATGTTAGGAACAGGCACTAAGTCTGCAAACTGCAGAATCCAGACCGTCAAATTCCTCAATTCTTCCTTTGCGAGGTCCAGCCTCATCATGAACCCTCACATGGCTCAAGGGGAAATGCTTGTTTTTCTTTGGAGTACTGGGCACTAAAGCCACAACCTGGTGTACAGCAGGCAAGCACTCTACCACCCAGCTATACTACACTTTTTTTGCATTTTAGGGAAGGATCTACAGGGTGTTCAGGGTCTCACTACTAGATCCGACTTGTAGTGATCTACTTGTTTACAACCTCCCAAGAGCTGGGATTACAGGTGCACGCTACCGCGCCCAGTCTCTACACTGCACTCTTGAGACAAGGTTCTTTCTATCTTTGGACACAGGAGAAAACTTCAAAGAGGTTCCCCCAGCCTGTTCCTAACACTTGGCTGGCACCTGGCCAGACCCTCCATTGCCTCGTGGGGAATTGGTCCTCACCAGGCCTTTTGGGGGACTTTCCCTCAACCTCACCTGCTATGCAGGTGAATTCAGCATCCCAATGACCTTCCCACCCCTGGGGACCAAAGGGCACACGGGCTCCTCGGGTTCTCCAGGAAGGAAGTGGGGTGGGGGGGAGCAGGAAGCTGGTGCTGCTGACTCACAGGCCAAGGGGGAGTAAGTCAGGAAACTTGTCACTCTGTCGCCTGGGCTTTGGACCCGCCTGGTACCCCTTCCTCTCTGAGGCTCCCTCAAGGGCTGGGTGTTGGCCTCTTCCATAGTATCCCTGCTCAGAGGACTGGGGAGATAGCTCAGTGGCATAAACGCCTGCCTCATAGAGTCCCAGATCCTGGACTAACCCTCTACTAACTGCGTGCCCCTCCCCCCAGGACAGAGGCTGTCAGGGTTCAGCTCCATCTTCACCTGGAGAAAGTAGGGCACACCATCAGTGGGCAGAGCCACCCAGGCTAGAGGAAATAAAGATCCCGAGGAGATGTGTGGGGAGGAGAGCGGAGGACAGCGGAGGAC